GAAGGTACGGTGTGAGGTACAAGAAGTGTGGGGTCCATTTAGGGTCCACTTTTTTAGGTCTAACATAATTTTTACACGATATTGGTGTTTTAATTGTAAATTAAAGGTAAATTTTAACTATTAAAATCGTTTTATATTAAAGAGATTTTAATAAATTCAGCCAAAATATACATTAATGATAATTTAATATTAAAATTATTTAATACATGTTGAAACTCATTAATTAAGATATTTTTAATTAATTTTATATAAATTTTTATTTTAAATTTATAATTTTTTAATAAATTTTAAATGTAAATTTTATATTATATTATATTTTTACATTATACATTATATTTTATATAAATTTTATATAAAAATTTATATAAAATTAATTATAAATACTACAATCGATGAAATTTAACATAAATTTCATGATGTGAAACCATTTTTGATCTTACATAGTCTTTATGACTTATGCTCTAAAAAATACATGAAAATTTAGAAAAATAAAGTAAGTTGTTTAGATCTCCAATTTAGAAAATAAGTCAAATAATCAATTGAATTGTTTACCCATGAACATTTCTTTAGAAACATAAAATTTTGTTCTCATCTCCATTTTTTTTTTTTTTTAGTTTTCCCGCTCGGTATCTGAGGTTTTGCCACGATTAATTCAGACCAGATCTGCATCGTACACCTGGAAATGGTAGGTGAGTCTCTCAACGTGGGTTACTGCGTACACAAGATCTCGAACTCAGGATCTTATTTAAACTGAAACAAATTACTTATCACTTAATTCAACCCTTGTTGATATTCTTATCTTGATTGATAAGAGAGGACTTCTAGTTCCTTCTCATCTTAGTATTAGTTAAGATTCAATTTTGTCACGACAAGATGTTTCCTTAGCAATCTTTTCATAATGATTGGCAGGTACAAGTTTAATAAAAAAAATAATACATTTTATGAAAAGATGAAATCTCGTTACAAATAATAATTAAAATAAGTTAATATATCTAAATTATATTTTAAAAGTTTTAATATAATTTAAATTATATAAAATTATGTAATTTGAT